GTTTGTAAAAATTTTGCCTTTTTGCTAAATATATTTCGAGCTAAGTGGTACAAATATAGTGATGTTTCATGTCTATGCCTAAGAATATTGATGTAAACCATTACCTTGTTAAATTAAATAGTCTAACTCATTCCATAAATTTTACTGTTGAATTTGAGCAAAAGAACTTATTGCCATTTTTTAAATGTCTTAATTATTAAATATATGATTGACCATTAAACTGAGAGACTGTGATAGAGTTAAGATTTGAGATTCCTCCTGCCACCCGCTTAATTTTCAGTGTTCAACCCAACACTGGCAACACTCAGCCAGTGTGTGTGTGTGTGTGTGTGTGTGTGTGTGTGTGTGTGTGTGTGTGTGTACTCACCTATTTGTGGTTGCAGGGGTCGAGTCACAGCTCCTGGCCCCGTGTGTGTGTGTGTGTGTGTGTGTGTGTGTGTGTGTGTGTGTGTGTGTGTTATGAATACTAGTCAGTGGTAGAGGGACTCCCACATGTACACAAACAGAAGGATAGTTGATCTGTACATATAGATCCCGGTCTGAAATTCTCTTCAGCAAGCTTGCATATCGAGATTGAAATATACAGATCAACTGTTCTCCTGTCTCTTTCTACATAAGAGGTTCATCTTGGAGTGTATGTGGAGGCTCAGTGAGTGTTTTCTTATAGGCAATAAGATCACAACAGAGAGGTGGCATCTTAATATGAAATATAAGCAGTGTGATACACAATAAAATTCCAAATGTTTTCGTAATTTTCTCACATTATCTTATACATTTTGCCCCTGTTTACCTATAAATAAAGAGGTACAAGACAGTGAGTCGGCTGTTGTTGGTCGGCTGTTGTGAGTCGGCTGTTGTTGGTCGGCTGTTGTTGGTCGGCTGTTGTTGGTCGCATCCAGGGAAAAGTGCGTTAGAAAACTTAATTCCTTCTGGAATATCATATTCTGTGAATGAAAAGATTCCTGTCCTGTATAAGAAACCTCCAGTGCCTGACGAAGCGTTAATAAAGCGTTCTAATTCTTTCGAAAAGAATTCCAGTACCTGGTAGCAGCATTCAAGCCTTGACTGAAGGATGTCAATGTACTTAATGATGCTAAAATAATGACCCGGTCTCACTCACATTTACTGTTCTTCCTCAACTTACACATATTTAAAACATTTAACAGGCACATAAGTTCCCCTGTATTCTAATAACATGTTTATTTTGCCATTATAATCTACCTTGTCCATAATTACTATCGCATTTACTTTGTTTCGTCTGAGTAAAGCTCAGACTTTTGTAACACAACTGTCATCAAAGGTCTGTTAAGTTATACCATGAATTAAGGAAGATCCTGGACTTCACCTTACGAAACAAAGTAAATGTCTACCTGGAGTCTACCTGGAGTCTACCTGGAGGGTAGATAGTAATTATGGACGAGGTAGATTATAGTGGTTGTTATGTGTTAGTGGTTGCTGTGTGTTAGTGGTTGTTGTGTGTTAGTGGTTGTTGTGTGTTAGTGGTTGTTATGTGTTAGTGGTTATGTGTTAGTGGTTGTTATGTGTTAGTGGTTGTTATGTGTTAGTGGTTATGTGTTAGTGGTTTTTTATGTGTTAGTGGTTGTTATGTGTTAGTGGTTGTTATGTGTTAGTGGTTATGTGTTAGTGGTTGTTATGTGTTAGTGGTTGTTATGTGTTAGTGGTTGTTATGTGTTAGTGGTTGTTGTGTGTTAGTGGTTGTTGTGTGTTAGTGGTTGCTGTGTGTTAGTGGTTGTTGTGTGTTAGTGGTTGCTGTGTGTTAGTGGTTGTTGTGTGTTAGTGGTTGCTGTGTGTTAGGGTTGTTGTGTGTTAGTGGTTGTTGTGTGTTAGTGGTTGTTATGTGTTAGTGGTTATGTGTTAGTGGTTGTTATGTGTTAGTGGTTGTTATTTTGTTAGTGGTTGTTATGTGTTAGTGTTGTTATGTGTTAGTGGTTATGTGTTAGTGGTTGTTATGTGTTAGTGGTTGCTATGTGTTAGTGGTTGTTATGTGTTAGTGGTTGTTATGTGTTAGTGGTTATGTGTTAGTGGTTGTTATGTGTTAGTGGTTGTTATGTGTTAGTGGTTTGTTATGTGTTAGTGGTTGTTATGTGGGTTTGTGGTTATGTGTTAGTGGTTGTTATGTGTTAGTGGTTGTTGTGTGTTAGTGGTTGCTGTGTGTTAGTGGTTGTTGTGTGTTAGTGGTTATGTGTTAGTGGTTGTTATGTGTTAGTGGTTATGTGTTAGTGGTTGTTATGTGTTAGTGGTTGTTATGTGTTAGTGGTTGTTATGTGTTAGTGGGTTTTGTGTTAGTGGTTGTTATGTGTTAGTGGTTGTTATGTGTTAGTGGTTGTTATGTGTTAGTGGTTGTTTTGTGTTAGTGGTTATGTGTTAGTGGTTGTTATGTGTTAGTGGTTGTTGTGTGTTAGTGGTTGCTGTGTGTTAGTGGTTGTTGTGTGTTAGTGGTTGTTATGTGTAGTGGTTGTTAGTGTTAGTGGTTATGTGTTAGTGGTTGTTATGTGTTAGTGGTTGTTAGGTTTTTGTTTGTTATTGTTAGTGGTTATGTGTTAGTGGTTGTTATGTGTTAGTGGTTATGTGTTAGTGTTGTTATGTGTTAGTGGTTGTTATGTGTTTTAGTGGTTTTGTGTTAGTGTTGATTTGTTTTATGTTGTTAGGTTGAGGTTATGTGTTAGTGTGATGGTTGTTATGTGTTAGTGGTTGTTATGTGTTAGTGGTTGTTGTGTATTAGTAGTTGTTCTTATATATGGTTGTTGTTAGATGTGTGTGTCAGAGAGTAGTTGTAGTTAGTGGCATTGACTGTGGTTATTACAGTGGTTGTAATGTATAGTATCAGTGTATAATACAGTGTTACCGTACAACCTGACGATTGTTACACGCTGAAGTACACGTGTAAACTCAAGAACAATGTACACCCATTGTTGGTTCAGATGAGAACGTCGGCAAGTCTCCCCACACTTGTTATCTCTGTTCTCCTGGCAGTAAATAGGTACCTGTCGTGGTTGGTATCCTAGGCTGTGCCTCTATAATTTAAAGGCGAACTTTGACCTGAGTTGAGGTTGGGTCACAACCTCAAAACTAAATTTACTGGCGTACAATTTTTTTAAGGTATTTAGAATATTCTTTTTTCAAACTTATTTTTTACAGGGGTATATTATACTGTGAAAAGAATTTTGTGTTCTTAGTTAATCCTTAAACTGGGGACTGATCTCTAAGTATATATACACTGAGAGACATACACCTCTCGGTGTATATATCTTGTGACTGCCCAACTCCACTAGTTATTAGAGAAAACTGATCTACCATGGTCTGGTCAACCATGAGTACTGGTCTACCATGGTCTGGTCAACCATGAGTGCTGATCTACCATGGTCTGGTCAACCATGAGTACTGGTCTACCATGGTCTGGTCAACCATGAGTGCTGATCTACCATGGTCTGATCAACCATGAGTACTGGTCTACCATGGTCTGGTCAACCATGAGTGCTGATCTACCATGATCTGGTCAACCATGAGTGCTGATCTACCATGGTCTGGTCAACCAGCACTCACGGTTGACCAGACCAGCTAGGGTCATGGTACAACAGACGGATGTTTCTAGCGGACGCACTTTCACGAGGCTGAGATGATTTGCAGCTCACCAGTTTTGTGTTGCACACAGTGAATACAGAGTTACAAAGAACTTAGTGAGTTACAAGGCAGTTACAAAGAACTTAGTTACAAAGTTACATAGAACTTAGTGAGTTTCAACGCAGTGCGCACTTGGTAAGTGCGCTCAGTGCATGCAACAGTCACCTCCACAGTCAAAACACTGACGATGGTATCTTTTCAGTATGGCAAGTAAGGTGGTCAATGTGTGTTGCTGTGGTCTATGGTTTGGTGATGTTGATACTGCTACGTAAACCACATCAGTCACCCCAACTTGTGAGGTGAGACCCACCATTATAGTTCTTGATCTAAGAAAGTGTAAGCTACCCTTCGCTTCAATCAAACTTATACGATGTATAACCCGTACAGGTTTACTTCTTTCCAAGTGAATATGATGGTGTGAGAGGTAGACTGCAGACTGGTATACTCTTTGGTAAAGGGAGTGAGCAAGAAGTGGTCAAGGTCCCAGCACCGAAATGTTTTATAATAAATACGTCTTAGTATATGATCAAGTGTCCTTGAAACCAACCCATACCTCATAACTCCAGACCGACGTGTTAGCCACTAGTGTGGAGTTTTGAGACTCTCTGATCGCGGGTTCTAACCCCGCCCGTAGTATGGTTTGTTTGCAATCGTGTCGTTACGATTTCGTGAGTCATACCTCACATGACCAGTTGTGTGAGGTATGGGTAAGAGGTAGGGATGAGAGGTACGTGTGTGAGGTGGAGGTGAGAGGTATAGGTAAGAGGTATTAGTTTAAAATATTACTTACAATAGAGCTAGAGTTATTATTACTTAGGTGCTGTAGTTGTAAGAGTAGCGTACTTATTAAAAAACTATCATAATAATAATAATAATAATAATAATAATAATAATAATAATAATAATAATAATAATAATAATAATAATAATAATAATAGCAACAACAACAACACCAAAAGCAACAACAACAACAACAACAATAATAATAATAATAATAATAATAATAATAATAATAGCAACAACAACAACACCAAAAGCAACAACAACAATAATAATAATAATAATAATAATAATAATAATAATAATAATAATATAATTCCTATGACATGAAACGAGTTACTGGAATAGTTTGTACTGCTACGAAGATATGTTTTTACTTATGTTATACTTACGATATCGGTAATTATAATACATTAGCCACAAAAGCTGTCAAATGTATTTTCCAGGTTACACACTGTAAAGATAACTTATTATGGCAGAGAAGTAATGATATAAACCACTTTGTTTTATTTTAAGGCTCTGAATAACTCATATTATTTTAGTGCTTTGCAAATTCGTAACCTGTCTGCTTCTCTCAGGGCTGTGTTTATGGTGGGGTCAACGCTGGACCCTGAACTACAGGCTGCCCTGGATGCTGAAGCTGCCCAGCACCATGATCTGGCTCAGTACAACTTTATAGACTCCTACGAGTGAGTCTGCCACACCTAAAGTGTAAATAATAAATTCTCTCTGTTAAACAAAGCATTAAGGAAGTTTTGTAACAATATTTAACGGGTCAGAGGTGTGTGTGTGTGTGTGTGTGTTAAGTTCCCTAATGATGTTGTTGGGTCTCAGGAGATCATAATGACGTGACTGAGCTAGAGTTTGTCACAGCCACGCTGGCGGGAGGTGTATATGTATAAACTTATATTTGAGGTCACAGTGGTGCCTATGCTAACCTTTCTACTGTGCATACATGTACCTAATTACATGAATCTTACTGTAGCCAGATGGCCCAGTGGCTAACGCGCCGGTCTGGAGTTTTACGACTCACCAGCCGCGAGTTCAGTTCCCTCCCGTACAGTGGTTTACTGGGACTGAAGACAGAGATGGCAGGAACATAATTTACTCATGGTCTTAACACTGTTCCTTGAGGGGTCAGTCTTGTCTAACTCATTCATTAAAGTATTTCATTGGTAAGACCTCATTTCGGCGATGCGGATTTGTTTAATTCATGTTAAGCGCTAAACCCAAGTGGAGTCATTCAACGCAAGACGAGGTGAAGGCTTGATCCTCCGTCTGCTGAGTACGAAACAGACGACGCTCTTCATATATATTTTAATTACAAAGTTGATATCCTGTTTTAACAATCTTTCATACAAAAAAATATATTATAAGCACTAGCATCACCTTCTTGAAAGATGAATAAAGATGAATAAAGGTGAATAAAGGTGAATAAAGATGAATAAAGATGAATAAAGATGAATAAAGATGAATAAAGATGAATAAAGATGAATAAAGATGAATAAAGATGAATAAAGATGAATCAAGATGAATAAAGATGAATCAAGATGAATAAAGATGAATAAAGATGAATAAAGATGAATAAAGATGAATAAAGATGAATAAAGATGAATAAAGATGAATCAAGATGAATAAAGATGAATCAAGATGAATAAAGATGAATAAAGAAGAGATATGATTGAATTGTACAAAAAGAAGATAGATTATAAATAAATTATAAATAAGGCATTTAAAATAAAACATTAACGAAGACTAAACTAGCACTGAGCTGGCACTGGGGCTGGCACTGGGGCTGGTACTGGGGCTGGCACTGGGGCTGGTACTGGGGCTGGCACTGGGGCTGGTACTGGGGGTGGTATTGGGGCTGGTACTGGGACTGGGGCTGGTACTGGGGCTGGTACTGGGGTTGGCACTGGGGCTGGCACTGAGGCTGGCACTGGGGCTGGCACTGGGGCTGGCACTGAGGCTGGCACTGGGGCTGGCACTGGGGCTGGTACTGGGACTGGGGCTGGTACTGGGGCTGGTACTGGGGTTGGCACTGGAGCTGGCACTGGGGCTGGCACTGGAGCTGGCACTGGAGCTGGCACTGGGGCTGGCACTGAAGCTGGCACTGGGGCTGGCACTGGGGCTGGTACTGGGGCTGGCATTGAGGCTGGTACTGGGACTGGGGCTGGTACTGGGGCTGGTACTGGGGCTGGCACTGGGGCTGGCACTGAGGCTGGCACTGGGGCTGGCAGTGGGGCTGGCACTGGGGCTGGCACTGGGGCTGGCACTGAGGCTGGCACTGGGGCTGGCACTGGGGCTGGCCCAGGGGCTGTAGGTGAATGGCAGTAAATGACAAAGAGTGTCATTGAAGCAAGTGTTCTGAGTAGTTTAAGGGGCACGTAAGTACCTCTGTCTCCTAATAACATGTTCATTTTTCCACTATAATCTACCTTGTCCATAATTACTATCACATTTCCTTTGTCTGTTTCGTAAGGTGAAGTCCAGGATCTTTCCTTAATTCATGGTATAACTTAACAAATATTTGAGGACAACTGTGTTGCAGAGGTCTGAGCGTTACTCAGACGAAACAGACAACGTAAATGCGATGCAACACATCGCGATAGTAATTATGAACAAGGTAGATTATGGTGGAAAAATGAACATGTTATCAGAAGACAAGGGTACTTACGTGCCTTTTAAAAGATGTGAGAATGAAAAATACTGCATGCCTTCAGGCCACTCTGGACCTGAAGTCTTGCACTGCTCCTTTGTTCTTATCTTAGTCTGGCCGGCAACTGCAACTTAGTCCAGAAGTAACAACAATTTTAGTCCAGCAGGAAACTTCTGACACATCAGTATTGTATTACTCACTAAACTTCTGACACAGCAGCAGTAGTGTATTATTCGCTAAACTTCTGACACAGCAGCAGTAGTGTATTATTCACTAAACTTCTGACACAGCAGCAGTAGTAGTGTATTATTCGCTAAACTTCTGACACAGCAGCAGTAGTGTATTATTCACTAAACTTCTGACACAGCAGCAGTAGTGTATTATTCACTAAACTTCTGACACAGCAGCAGTAGTGTATTATTCGCTAAACTTCTGACACAGCAGCAGTAGTGTATTATTCACTAAACTTCTGACACAGCAGTAGTGTATTATTCGCTAAACTTCTGACACAGCAGCAGTAGTGTATTATTCACTAAACTTCTGACACAGCAGCAGTAGTGTATTATTCGCTAAACTTCTGACACAGCAGCAGTAGTGTATTATTCACTAAACTTCTGACACAGCAGCAGTAGTGTATTATTCGCTAAACTTCTGACACAGCAGCAGTAGTGTATTATTCACTAAACTTCTGACACAGCAGCAGCAGTGTATTATTCACTAAACTTCTGACACAGCAGCAGTAGTGTATTATTCGCTAACCTTCTGACACAGCAGCAGTAGTGTATTATTCGCTAAACTTCTGACACAGCAGCAGTAGTGTATTATTCACTAAACTTCTGACACAGCAGTAGTGTATTATTCACTAAACTTCTGACACAGCAGCAGTAGTGTATTATTCACTCAACAATCACCTCCCACCGCAGGAACCTAACATACAAGACACTGGCCATGTTTTTTTGGGCCGCCTCCTACTGCCCTGATGTTCCCTTCATCGCTAAGGTGGACGACGACGTGTTGGTCAACCCCTTCCACCTGAAGAAGTTCCTCCTGAAGCAGCTGCATGAGCCATCCAATCCTGCGGTAAGTCTATTCAGGGTGGAGGTTAGTTACAACATCAGAAAAGACAGTAAACATCCTGGACTATGAGAGACAGGTCCCATTTAAACCTCAACTCTTTATCTATTTTTATGTAAATTACGTTTAACGCTTTAGGTTCGAACCTCTAAACTGACAAGGGAGACGTGTGTGTACTCACCTAATTGTGGTTGCAGGGGTCGAGACTCAGCTCCTGGCCTCGCCTCTTCAATGAACGCTACCATGTCCTCTCTCTCTCCCTGCTCCCTGTGTGTGTGTGTGTGTGTGTGTGTGTGTGTGTGTGTGTGTGTGTGTGTGTGTGTGTGTGTGTGTGTGTGTGTGTGTGTGTGTGTGTGTGTACTCACCTATTTGTACTCACCTATTTGTGGTTGCAGGGGTCGAGTCACAGCTCCTGGCCCCACCTCTTTGCTGATTGCTACTAGGTCCTCTCTCTCCCTGCCCCATGAGCTCTATCATACCTCACCTTAAAACTATGTATGGTTCCCGCCTCCACTACGTCACTTTCTAGGCTATTCCACGGCCTGACTACTCTATGACTGAAGAAATACTTCCTAACATCCCTTTGATTCATCTGAGTCTTCAACTTCCAATTGTGACCTCTTGTGTCTGTGTCCCCTCTCTGGAACATCCCGTCTTTGTCCACCTTGTCTATTCCGTGCAGTATTTTATATGTCGTTATCATGTCTCCCCTGACCCTCCTGTCCTCCAGTGTCGTCAGGCCGATTTCCCTCAACCTTTCTTCGTAGGACAATCCCCGTAGCTCTGGGACTAGTCTTGTTGCAAACCTTTGCACTTTCTCTAATTTCTTGACGTGCTTGACTAGGTGTGGATTCCAAACTGGTGCTGCATACTCCAGTATGGGCCTGACGTAAATGGTATACAGAGTCTTAAACGAATCCTTACTGAGGTATCGGAACGCTATCCGTAGGTTTGCCAGGCGCCCGTATGCTGCAGCAGTTATCTGATTGATGTGCGCCTCAGGAGATATGCTCACACCATTCAGGCCCTTCGCTTAGCCTGCTCTGAGCACTCTAATTTTTTCAAAGTAATTGTGCCGGCCACTCGGTGAAGAGCACCCCGTGCAAGCCGGCGGGCGGCTTTAGCTCAAACCGTTCGGAGCGTGACGGTAAGCACCATCGGCGGTGAAACGTCAGTCCAGAACTGAAACCCAACTACGAGCTTTTTAACCGCAACATCACTAATATACGCTATCGGAGCTGGAATTACCGCGGCTGCTGGCACCAGACTTGCCCTCCAATTGATCCTCGTTATAGGATTTAAAGTGTACTCATTCCGATTGCGAGGTGTGTGTGTGAGTGTGTGTGTGTGTGTGTGTGTGTGTGTGTGTGTGTGTGTGTGTGTGTGTGTGTGTGTGTGTGTGTGTGTGTGTGTGTGTGTGTGTGTGTGTGTGTGTGTGTGTACCCGACATTACTTTTTTTTTAATCCGGGGATTCAATCCCAGGAACTCAGTGGTGAGAGGCGTGACTCTCACCACTGGGCTACGACTTTTGGTACGACCCTTGTGGGTTTAGCGCTTAGTTATGATAATAATAATAATAATAATAATAATAATAATAATAATAATAATAATAATTCACCTATTTTTAAGCTTTCTGATGTATTTGTTTTAATGTTAGTGTTTGGCAACATCATTAATGTAAATATTAATCATACATTTCCTTCTCTTCCTCCTCCATCTCTCATTTCCTCCTGCACCTCCCACTTTCCTCTCTACCCTCCCCTTCCTCCTCCACCCCTTCAATCCCTACTGATCTTCTTTGTTGATGTGCAGGACCTGAAGCCTGGAGACGAGGTGTTGCTGCCTAATAACATCAGCAGAGCCGTGACATATTTATGGCCGCTTCGACCCTATTGCCTATCCCCACAGGTCCGGCAAGTGGGGCGTGTCTAAGGTCAGTCCGTAATACTTCTCTTGGTCTATTATATCTTTGTGAAGCTCTAAATGTGTGTGGGTCACTCAGAGCAATGAGGGGCAAAGGTTCGATCCTCGGTCCGGTAAGAGAGGTTCTAATTTTTGCAAATACATATACGTATATATGATATATATATATATATATATATATATATATATATATATAATATATATATATATATATATATATATATATATATATATATATATATATATATATATAATATACACACAATCAGATCTATTGTAGAAAGAGGAAAGGTAACTGTAGTTCATGATTGTTTCTCCAGTAGTAAGATAATTCTCTGTAAAGGATTATTCGTAGTGTTACAACACAGACGATGGCTGGGTGGCCATGCTTTATTCGGCCAATGGGAGAGCCTGGTTTTAAGCACGGATGTTGATTGGCAGATTCATCAAGGCTAAGTCTTATTGGTCGAGCAAGCCCTGCCCATGTAGCCAGTCACTGCATACACTCAGCAGCGATAGTGCAGAGTCACAGCTCTCCCATTGACTGACTTAATCTTCATGAAGCGGCCAAAAAAAAAAAAAAACAGAAATTGTTTGAAATCAGGTTCTCTCTTAACTAAATAAAACATTCCCATGAGGTCAGTCATTGTCTGGTTCGTGACGATGTACTTTATTACTATTTATTTATTTACAGTAACAGTGCAAATTGACCAACAGGATGAGTACCCGGAGGAGAAGTATCCGTCATTCGTTCATGGACCGGCTTACCTGGTGGGGAGTTTGGCTTGGCAACAGCTGTTGAAGTACACCCCCTACGTGCCGTTCCTCAAGCTGGAGGACGTTTACATTACCGGCCTCGTCGCCCACGCCGCTGGGATCAAGCACGTCCAGATCATAGGCGTCATCAACACTTTTCATGCCAAATTTGAGTTCTTCAGCGGCACTCAGGCCTTCCTGGAGAAGAACAAAGAGGAGAACAGAGAGACGGGGTGGCAGGGCGTCCTTAAGATCTCCCCCTGTCTAAGACGACTATAGACAGCAAGATTGGTTCGAAGGTGTTAGTTCAGGGGGAGTCGACAGGGCTATCATCCCCCGGGGTGGGATTCCAAAAGGCTGCCATTCCCCAGGTGGGGTCTGGGGATAAAACCCCCCAGAGGAGGAATGCGACTGCGATGTCATAGCCCGGCTGGTGGCAGGAGTCTCACACTCCGATAAAATGCGAGGGCCCGAACAAAACCCAGTTAATCAATGTATTTAATACTAAAAGGACCAAAATTGTTTTAAATTCGCTTTAAAGATGTTAACGATTTGTTTCAAATATGAGAAAACAATTTTTTCTGTGTCTTCCCCGAAGCAACTTTTTTACTTATTTTTTAGTTTGAAAAAGGATACGAAGCTGTGGTTAAATGTTTTTTGTGTTGGTTGTGAGGATGGGAAAAAAGTTTTTGGTCCAGGTTTTTGTTTGAGGAAAATGCTTTTGCATTTGTTTTTCTAGAAATTTGGAAAAATCAATTTTCATACTTTTCCTTTATGCCTATTCACATTTTTTACGGGGGCTATTGCTGCATGAGACATTTATTAAATCCTTTGGGCGAAGCTTGCATAGAAACTCTGCATTTTGGGTTTCTACCAAACCCTTATTCTTTTTGCCATAATGATCTAAAAATATTTTGATTGGGTTTATGCGTTTTCATAAAATTAAAATTTTTTGCATATCAAAACCCCTTTTCAAAAATTATTTTTGTGTGTTGCACAAGGGTCTGTAATTTTGTGCAAGAGGCTTTTGCCCCTATTGAAGACGAACATGTTTGACTTTTTTAAAGCCTTTAGGATTTAGCGTTTTTAAAGGTTTTCCCCAAAGGGGGTTAAATTTTCGTTTTAAAATAGTTTTACCTTTTATTGAAAACAAGTTTTCCACGAATTAGATCTAGGCCTACACGGGGGCCATGTTATGGAGTTTTTGTGCTTAATAAAATGGGGGATTAGTGGGGGGCCGAGATAATAAAAAAAAAAAAATGCAACTTTTTTTTTGATATTTTTTAATATTATTGTTTAAACGTGAAAAAATCCACCCGCTGAGGGATTTTGTTAGGTGAATGGGCCTAGAGATATTTTTGTAAAGTATCAGAACAAACTGTGATGTATTTTTGTTAAATAAACAAAACGTGATTATTTAAATTATCATTTCATTTGTGGATTATTTCGAATTAAAAAAAAGGAAGCTTCCCTCTTGATAACGAAAGGGAAAGATTTCCCGTCTAGGGTTTGGGAAAAGAATATGATTTCCCCCTTTTCAAATAAAAGATGGGAATATTATTGTATTATTTTGATTTTGGGGGAAAAACCCCCCCGGGGAGGTTCCTTTACGTGGTGAAGGGCTCTTGATCTAGGGGAAATGGATCGAATTGGTTGAATGCCTTTCCCTCCCCCCTCCCCCAACAGGCGTTGTATAATCCCTATAAAACAGCTCTCCCCCATGATAATAATGAAATCTTGGGCAAGATTCCTGGGGCTATTGGACAAATGTTCGGGCGCCAGGGCAAAGCTACACACAAAATTTTTGTTCCTGTGAGACAGGTGGAGAAGGGGCCCGTTTGGCTTCGAAAATTTAAAATCAGTTCCTATCATTCCGACAGGGAAATGAACTTTCCAGGCGGGACTGACAACACAAAAAATTCTACATTCAAAGGGGGAGGGGCGATTACATCGCTTAAATCCCCTGTTCCCCCCTACTTTTTGTTTCGCTGAAGAAGCCCACGGGTGGCGAAAGTTTTGGAATAAAGTTGCCTAAATTACCTACCTTACTGCCCCTTTATGCTGGTGAGCGGTTTTGATCCAAGAAAAATGGGCTTCTCTCCCCTTTTGGATGAATTTGATTTCTCGCGTTCCACAGGCCTTTGTGACCCCCTACGGGGTTTTCGCTTTCCTCTGATTTAAAATAAACCACTGCGAACAGCAACAGTCTTCAGTGGGAGCATCTTATAAAACGAGGAACATTTCATGGGTTTGCCCGAGTAGGGGCAAATTTTTTGGATTCTCCCCCCCCCCCCCCCCCAAAAAAAAAGCACCTTGTTTCATCCTCGAAAAACGCTGGATTACTACAGTGGGGGGTACTGTTACAACACATGGGGCTGTCACAAAACCCGTGTGGGGGATGTCACAACCCCAGTGGGACTTGCACAACCAAGTAGGGACTGTCACAACCACGGGGACAAGTATACTAAGGGAAAACACCCTAAATGTCCGGGGGGCTAAGACTGTTCAACAGCCCCCCATCAAGCATTTGGGGGGGGAATGCCAATAAACCCCCGGCGCCTTCAAGAGACTGGCAATACCTAATCAGTGCGGGTCAGCCGGGCTGTGGCTCACGTTGGCTCGTGCGGCCACAGTAACAGCCCAGTTGATCAGGCCCGATCCATCGGGGGGGCCCCTCAAGGACCCGGGGGAGCGGGGGGGTTTATCCCCCAAAAAACCTTAGGTAAGCATGAACTGTTTTCATTAATTTACCTTGTTCAGGGAAACCCAGGATTTATTTTTTCAGACCCCCTGCATATTTGTACAAAGGTTTTGAAACACATAGCTATAATACATTAGTATGTAGGTTAATGAACACTACACTGAAGTCAGTGTACTTGTATAGTTAAAAGTAATTAGCTTATCGTTACATGTGATCAGAAAAAGACTGCTTTGTAATTTCTTTTATCAGCAAAAAAGCCCCGAATGTTATAATTCCTAAAATAGGGGGTTTTCTGTATATAAAAAAGACACCCTACAAACCCCTTTTGTGTTTTGTATAACCTTTAATTTTCACAGGGTTTTTTGAGGGTTTAAAGGGGGGTTTAAAATACCCTAACGCACGGGGGCTCAATAAGGGTGCATGACACTTTTTTTCACCACCCCGTCCAAAATTACTTTTTAAATTTTATACCTGATAGGAAACATCAGCTTTATAAAAATAATAAAATAAAAATAATAATAATAAAAAAAATAAAAATAAAAATAATATCTTTATTTCTTCAAGTACATGTACATGTATACAGAAACCCTAAAGGTTTACATCAATGACATACTTTCTATATAGAAAGCCCCCTTGGGTTTTGCTGGCATTTGGGGAAATTAGGTCAGTTTTTTCCCGGATGCCCACCCACATCTCGGGAATAAAACCAAGGGGACCCATTTTAAATGATGGGTGAAAATAGACAACCGGGGTAGCAAACACACCCAATGTTTTTTTACCCCGTGGAATCGAACCCGGAAAGCTTTTGGGCCCCCAGGCAAAGAGCCCCCCGGGTTTTAAAGAAAGACATCCAAATCTTAATATGTATAAACCCAAAAGGGGGATTTATTTGCATTAAAGTCCCTTTGTGTTAGATCGACATTTAAAACCAAAAGATTTACTTGGAGATAAAAAAGTGGTTTTAAGAAAAACCGGCTTTTCCCGATCTGTTTCCATAGATGATTTTTCTGGGTGTCCCCCAAAGAATTTTTTTGAAAAGAGTTTATCATGTTTTTTTGATAAGGTTTTAAAGACAGGGGAAATTTAATTTATAAATTTTTGCAAGTTCGGGTTACAAAGCTCCTTTAATAGTGGGGTTTTTTTTTTTTTTTAAATGCAGTCCAAAATGTCCAAAATTTTAAAAACCCATTGGGAAAAGGGCCTATTTTAAATTTATTCAGTTTTTTGGAGGTACAACTTTGGTTTTTAAGGGTTTTTTTTACTCCCCTACCCCCCCCCCAAACCCCACCCCGCCTCCTAAAAACCCCGAACCCCAAAACCCCTCCCGCCCACCACCCCCCCCACCCACACCCCCACCACTACCAATTCCCAAAAACCATACCACCACCACCAAATACCAACACCATCCCACCAAAACCACCCTACCAACCCCCATCACCCACAACCCCTACCAAAACCCCCACCACCAACCCCCACTTTCCCCTACCAACACCATCACCCCCCACCACCCCTCCCCAAAACCCTCACCACCACCACCCCCTACCCCTACCAACCCCCAAACCCACCACCCCCCACTACCAAACACCATACCCCCCCACCACCCTTTCCACTACCCAAAACCAAACACCCCCCCCACCCCTACCAACCCCCAAACCAAACCCCCACCACCACTACCAACACCCCTCACCACCAACCCCCCCTAAACCCCCCCACAACACCCTCACCACCACCCAAACCCCTACCAACACCCCACCAACCCCCACCCAACCCACCCCTACCAAAAACCAAACACCACCCTTTCCCCTACCAACCCATCACCCCCCACCCCCACCACTACCCCTACCAAAACCATCAAAACCCCCAAACCAAAACCCTACCAACACCATCCCCCACCCCCCACCCCTACCACTACCAACACCTCCCCACCCTTACCCTTTTCCAACCCCCATCACCACCACCCCACCAATACCACTACCCCAAACCCTCCCCACCACCACATCCATACCAAAAACCCCCCCCACCCCACCACCACTACCAATTTCCAAACACCATCACCACCACTACCAATAAACCCAAAACCAAACCCCACCACTACCACTACCCACCTCCCACACCACCACTAAACCCCACCAAAACCTTTACCACCCCCTAAAAACTACCAACAAAAATCACCACCCCCACCACCACTACCCCTACAACACCATCACCCCCACCACCACTACCAAAACATCCCACCACCACCCCTACCAAAAACCATCACCACCCCCCCACCACCAATACCAACACCCAAACCCCCACCAAACCCCTACCAAAACCCCTCACCACCACCACCACTACCAACAAACCTTTAACCAAACCCCCACCACCACTACCAAAAAACCATCCCACCACCACCACTACCAAAACCATCCCCCCACCCACCCCCACCAACACCATCACCCCCACCCCCCACTACCACTACCAAAAACCTTTACCACCCCCAAACCCCTTTCCCAAACCCCCTCACCACCCCCACCCTACCACTACAACACCATCACCACCACCACCCCACCAACACCAAACAACCCCCCACAAAACC